GGTGTGTGGGTCATGCAATTGGATGATTTCACATAATTTACTCTCCCTTCAACCACCCCTAAAAAAAAAATCATGCAGGGACAGAAGCAAATACGTTTTTGTTCACAAGGGCACAATGTTTGGGGGTTCCCTCTCTCCCCCCCTGTTATAAACAGAGATGATCCAGCAGGCTGTTCGTTCCTGCGTGGCGTTTAGTGGTGAGAACACGCTTGAAATGGCTCAGGAGGGTGTGGTCGACCTGGTTTTGGTCTCTTGGTGTGGTCGACCTGGTTTTGGTCTCTTGGTTTGGTCGATCTGGTCTTGCTTTCTTGGTGTGGTCGACCTGGTCTTGGTCCTCTTGGTGTGGTCGACCTGGTCTTGGTCCTCTTGGTGTGGTCGACCTGGTCTTGGTCCTCTTGGTGTGGTCGACCTGGTCTTGGTCTCCTGGTGTGGTCGACCTCACCTTGCCCTCTTGGTGTGGTCGACCTCACCTTGCCCTCTTGGTGTGGTCGACCTCATCTTGCTCTCTTGGTGTGGTCGACCTCACCTTGCCCTCTTGGTGTGGTCGACCTCACCTTGCCCTCCTGGTGTGCTTGCTCTCATGAGGACGTCAAGGACTAGTTGATGAATACTGTATTGATGAATTGATCAATATATGATGCCTCTGATACATTCATGAAACATGATACATTTCTTTCGGCCTGATGGCCCTGTTCACCTAGCAGTGAATGGGTGCCTGGGAGTTAGACAGCTGCTACGGGCAGCTTTCTGGGAATGTGTACTCACCTATTTGTGCTTGCGGGGGTTGAGCTTTGGCTCTTTGGTCCAAATACATGATGTGTGTGTGTGTGTGTGTGTGTGTGTGTGTGTGTGTGTGTGTGTGTGTGTGTGTGTGTGTGTGTGTGTGTGTGTGTGTGAGAAATATATGTAGAAGATATAATAGAGTAAAAAATAGATCGGTTAGAAAGGCGGGATCCAAGAGCTAATAGCTCGATTCTGCAGACACAAATATGTAAGTACAAATAGTAAATACATGTAATTCAGTATAGCGTATACTGATGGACGGTTCATTTCAGTACAACAATATACACTGAAATACACGATACAGGGATATACAATTACGTTTAATACAGAAATATTAATAAATTCACTTTTCTGATATAGTTTTAATATGCAAGAATATGCACAATTAATTTCAATACAATCATACGGGATAACGGCCCTTTTAATAATAACCAAACAACTCTATAACATTATAATTGGTTATGGCTGGGGACAGGTGTTGGTGCGTACGCGCGCGTAATTACCTAAGTGTAATTACCTAAGTGTAATTACCTAAGTGTAGTTACAGGATGAGAGCTACGCTCGTGGTGTCCCGTCTTCCCAGTACTCTTTATCGTATGACGTATTGAAACTACTGACGGTTTTGGCCTCCCATGAGGTGCTTCCGGGGCTTAGTGTCCCCGCGGCCCGGTCGTCGACCAGGCCTCCTGGTTGCTGGACTGATCAACCAGGCTGTTGGACGCGGCTGCTCGCAGCCTGACGTATGAATCACAACCTGGTTGATCAGGTATCCTTTGGAGGTGCTTATCCAGTTCTCTCTTGAACACTGTGAGGGGTCGGCCAGTTATGCCCCTTATGTGTAGTGGAAGCGTGTTGAACAGTCTCGGGCCTCTGATGTTGATAGAGTTCTCTCTCAGAGCACCACCAGCATCACCACCACCACCACCACCACCATCACCATCACCATCACCATCACCAACCACCACCACCACCACCACCACCACCACCATCACCACCATACACCACCACCATCACCATCACCAACCACCACCACCACCACCATCACCACCATACACCACCACCATCACCACTCACCACTCACCACCACCACCACCATCACCACCATCACCAACCACCACCACCACCACCATCACCACCATCACTCACCACCACCACCACCACCACCCACCACCACCACCACCACGCCCCCTCCATCAGGAGTGATGGGAGAATCACACAAGTCTCCACCCTAATGTGTGGGTGGCGTGCCGCCCCTGTATCTGACCGCGGTGATTTCTCTCTCCTTGCTCCTCCGGCTCCCCTTCCCACTTCCCTCCCACCCTAACCCCTTAACCCTCTTTCCCCTTAACCCTCTTCCCCCTTTATCTCATCCCCCCCATACCATTAACCCCCCGATGATAAGGAGAAATCACTAAACCAATATAATGGGCGTAAAAAAAGTAACCCAGATCATATATATATATATATATATATATATATATATATATATATATATATATATATATATATATATATATATGCTTTCTTAGCTAAATAAGGTTGCTAGAAAATATTAGAAAATTTTAATTTCCAGTATATATACCAACAGCATCATAACAACAGGATAACACACGAGGATAATAAGTTATGGATATCTTGCGTCGATTGGAGTTAATTTTGTTGAGTGTGAAAAAATGGCTTAAACGTTGACGGGGACAGGCCAGGTTGATGATTGGCAGTGCAAGCCAGGTTGATGATTGGCAGGGCAGGCCAGGTTGATGATTGGCAGGGCAGGCCAGGTTGATGATTGGCAGGGCAGGCCAGGTTGATGATTGGCAGGGAAGGCCAGGTTGATGATTGACAGGGAAGGCCAGGTTGATGATTGGCAGGGCAGGCCAGGTTGATGATTGACAGGGCAGGCCAGGTTGATGATTGACAGGGCAGGCCAGGTTGATGATTGACAGGGCAGGCCAGGTTGATGATTGGCAGGGCAGGCCAGGTTGATGATTGGCAGGGCAGGCCAGGTTGATGATTGACAGGGCAGGCCAGGTTGATGATTGACAGGGCAGGCCAGGTTGATGATTGACAGGGAAGGCCAGGTTGATGATTGACAGGGATCTAAATCTCCGGCTAGATCACGAAGACTAATGATAAATGAAGGCTGAATTGCTCAGTTCAGCATCCCGTCCTTGCACTTGGTGCATCTGTGTGTGTACACTTCCCCAGATCACACTGGTGATATCGAATGGTTGGATGATAAGTCTGGATAAGCTCATACGCTTGTGGGTAGGCAAAACCGTACAAATTAGACGCTCTTTAGAGCGTGGTAATGGGTGTGATTACAAGGGTTTAACTTTGACCTACCTTGACCCACTCAAGTTTGTTTAGATCAGGTCAGACGAGTCAATAATCGTATCAGATACAGTTATCTTGAGATAGATTAGCTGCTTTTTCGTTATGCTGTGTTTTTGTTTACATTAATCGAATGCTTTTACCCTGCTTCAAGATCTCTTAAACTTAAACACATGTACGATCCTCTCGGACGTAAGTTCGAACCCTCAGCACAGCCCTTGTGGATTCGTTCACCTGTACCCATTGCTTCCAGACCTCCACCTGGAAGGTCTGGAAGGTTCTTGTCAGGGTATCTTGAGGTTATCTTGAGATGATTTCGGGGCTTTAGTGTCCCCGCGGCCCGGTCCTCGACCAGGCCTCCACCCCCAGGAAGCAGCCCGTGACAGCTGACTAACAACCCAGGTACCTATTTTACTGCTAGGTAACAAGGGCATAGGGTGAAAGAAACTCTGCCCATTAGGGTAGGAGAGAGTATTGGAGGGAAAGGGTGAGGGAAGGAGGAGGAATAAGACACCTTAGTTTCACCACCTCAACCACAACCATTCTCCCATCGTAGCATATAGATCCAGACATGAGAAGAACCTTCCACGTCTTTTCCAGTCTTGCTTCCAGATCTCGCCTCACGGTTCCAGACACAAGGGATTCCAGACCCCTTCTCCCTTCATCTTAGTCTAGTATTTACGTTCTAAACATATTTTCAGACATAACACCCGCGGACCTTCTTGCTTCCTGGATCTTTAGTCTCCTCCTGTCACACAACTCCTGGAATGAAATAGGAGTAAGCATTTTTATGAAGAGTTGCGCGAATAATAGCATTTTATTCATGGTTCCAGAGCCTCTCTGCCTGACACAAAGGGTAAAGAAAAATGGCTAGAAAAGACGTTCCAAGCTTAGCCATCGTTTCCAACTTTTCCAGCGATGTAAGTTCTGTGGTAAACAGTGGTGGTGAGTCTTGGTGTTTAGAGCACCTGTGCTCAAGGCTTTTTTGTTGAGTGCGCGTACATGCCTGCCCCCACCCCCCCACCCCTCTCCCCTTCTTGTTCCAGGTTTCAAATTCCATTTGTAATACTCGCAATATCTTGTTTACAGGTTTAAAGTCTTTTAACCCCTTTCCCCATCCCCTAGGGCGGAGTTTTGGACATAATTCGCACTATAGTACCACAAGCTTCCAGGGGCCCTGCCTCATTTCCAGCCCCACACATCTCATTTCCAGCCCCACACACCTCATTTCCAACTCCCACACACCTCATTTCCAGGCCCACACACGCCTCATTCCCAGCCCCCCACACACCTCATTTCCAGCCCCCCACACATCTCATTTCCAGGCCCCCCACACCTCATTTCCAGCCCCCACACACCTCATTCCCAGCCCCCCACACACCTCATTCCGAGCCCCACACACCTCATTTCCAGCCCCACACACCTCATTCCCAGCCCCTCACACACCTCTTTTCCAGCCCCCCACACACCTCATTTCCAGCCCCACACACCTTATTTCCAGCCCCCCACACACCTCTTTTCCAGCCCCCCACACACCTCATTTCCAGCCCCACACACCTCATTTCCAGCCCCACACACCTCATTTCCAGCCCCACACACCTCATTTCCAGCCCCACACACCTCATTTCCAGCCCCACACACCTCATTTCCAGCCCCCCACACACCTCATTTCCAGCCCACACACCTCTCATTTCCAGCCCCCCCACACACCTCATTTCCAGCCCCACACACCTCATTTCCAGACCCACACACCTCATTTCCAGCCCCTCACACACCTCATTTCCAGACCCTACCTCATTTCCAGGCCCAAAGCTGTTTAGTCTGTCAAAAGTATAACCGTACTTCAATACATTTTCGTTCAGGTAAATAAAACCAACACTTTCTTTTCGTCATTGCAGGCTTGTGCGAGTTTCCAGCGGAGTGGAGCGGAAGATGGTTCAGGTCTGGCATGGGACAAGAGGGACCAATTCTTATCAACAGAGGCAGCATCTCCAAGACCGGAGACTGCGTGGAGAAGGGCAAGGCCAACAGATACCTCGTCAAGGAGGAGTGAGTACCATTGGACTTTGTGCCCCCAAGTGTCGAGAAGTCCTGTAAGGACGAATTCCCTGGAAACACAAACCGTAACTGTCTCTATTTTCCGCTTGTTACAACTTGTAATAAAGTTGTTACATCTTGGCTTAACGTGTTTATGACGTATTAGAACGTTGTTACAACTTGCTATATTGGTTGTTATAACTGGTTAGGTGGTGTTAAAACTTGTTCGAACGTTGTACCAACGTCGTAGTTTCGGTGTGTTTGGCGGGTTAAGGTCTTACGAAGTGCTTTATTCTTTGAGAACGTTTGAGGTATATTTAGAGGAAGGAGGTCCCTTAATCTTTATATAATCTTTATATAATCTTTATGTAAACCTTTATGCATTGTGCTATGCAAGCTTGGTCTTTCAAGACATTACCTTTGGATGCAGAGTTGGAACCAGTTTGTCATTTGATATTCCAAGTGGATATTAGTAAAGTCTTTCATTGTATCAAGCTTCCAGTTTCTTTAAGGGAAAAAGGATTGGTCAATAACTGGTTCTCGTTGACTGTGACCCCCTTTTAGGCCTTTTACCCTGTAACTATACTGATCTCGTGGCCTCTGACCATTGACCCTGATGACCCCTGACCTCTACCATTAGACGATAATCACCTTAGTGTCCCCAACAGCTGAAAGCACTTAACCCTAATGTTCCCCTATTTTTTAACTGTGTTTTACCTCCTTGCTATGTTGCACCACCACCAACCCCAACACCTGTGTTGGTGGTGGTGTTGGTGGGGGTGTTGGTAGATGTGTTGGAATCACAGCCTGGTTGATCAGGACCTTTGGAGGTGTTTTATCAAGTTCTCTCTTGAACACAGTGAGGGGTCGGCCAGTTATGCCCCTTATGTGTAGTGGAAGCGTGTTGAACAGTCTCGGGCCTCTGATGTTGATAGAGTTCTCTCTCAGAGTACCTGTTGCACCTCTGCTCTTCAACGGGGGTATTCTGCACATCCTGCCATGCCTTCTGGTCTCATGTAATATTATTTTTGCGAGCAGGTTTGGGACCAAATTTTGATCAGTAGCTACAGGGTCAAAGATCTACAAGGGTCAGAGACCAATAACCTCCCATTATGTCCCCCTCATCCCCCCACAACCCCCCACAATGGCCCCATCCCCATAACTACCCATTATCCGGCTGCAGGATATTAAAGAGTTTGATGCAATCGTTTACGGCAATTAATGTAATTTGATAAAAAGTGACTGGCTCCATGTAGAGGCGCGTTCCTTCTCCCTGTAAGAGTCTTTGGGAGGAGGAAGGCAGGAAGGAAGGCAGGAAGGAAGGAAGGAAGGAAGGAAGGAAGGAAGGAAGGAGGAAGCGCGTTTGTGTGTGTTCTGTCACGTGGTCTTCACTTAAGTCGTCGTTGTCTTAGTAATTCCCACCAGCATAGAACCTTACCTTGAGGTTACCTTGAGGTGCTTCCGGGTCTTAGGAGGAGGAAGGGAGGAAATGGGTGAAGGGATGGAGAGAACTGGAGTAGGAGGAGGAGGCAACAGAGTGGCACAGAAAGGGGAAATGGGAGGAATTGGATTGGAGTTAAAGGGGGAAAGAGAGGAAGGAGAACGGAAATGGGGAGTTAACAGTGGATGAGGGAAAGGGAAAGAAAGATAAGAGGGGAAGTAAGAGTTCGTCACATTAGTGGTGAAAGTTAAGTTCGATTTGGGAGGAAATCGAACTTTAGAGGAGAAAAAGGGGGGGGGGAGTTAGCTGGTGCTGAAACAAAGTGGCACATTAGAGGTAAACTTTCTTTCTTTCCCCCTGATGCCCCTGTTACCTAGCAGTAAAATAGGTACCTGGGTGTTAGTGAGCTGTCACGGGCTGCTTCGTGGGGGTGGAGGCCTGGTCGAGAACCGGGCCGCGGGGACACTAAAAGCCCCGAAATCATCTCAAGATAACCTCAAGATTATGGTGAGCCACTGTGACCTTGTTAGACGGAAATTGCAAAGTCTAAGCCCAAATGGTTTTGATTTTTGTGTGAATAGCTATTTCTCCAATGTCCCTGGGCTACCTTACCTACCTTGAGGTGCTTCCGGGGCTTAGTGTCCCCGCGGCCCGGTCGTCGACCAGGCCTCCTGGTTGCTGGACTGATCAACCAGGCTGTTAGACGCGGCTGCTCGCAGCCTGACGTATGAGTCACAGCCTGGTTGATCAGGTATCCTTTGGAGGTGCTTATCCAGTTCTCTCTTGAACACTGTGAGGGGTTTGCCAGTTATGCCCCTTATGTGTAGTGGAAGCGTGTTGAACAGTCTCGGGCCTCTGATGGGCTCAGTGTTAAGTCAGGGAGATATCCCCGTAAAGAGGCGGGTACACATCTAGTTGTGCTTGCTGGGAGGTTGAGCTTTAGCTCTTTGGTCCCGTCAATCAACCGGTGTAGAGATTCCTGAGCGTATATAAGGCTCTTATCATATCTACATTTGAAACTGTGTAAGGAGTCTGCCTCCGGGTCTATTTCTTCTGGTGTGTTTCATGATACCGGCTATTGGATGGTTAGGTAAGGGTCGTCTTGGTGGTTGGTAGCATGTTCCAACAACGATTGTATCCTTATAGGGGTTCGAAGCCCAACAGCCACAGGGCAGTTTTCCTGGAGATTGTCATGGAGTTTGTATGATAAATTTATCTTGACTCGAATTGCTGTTCCGTTGTTGGTGTGGTCAGTTGACATGGTAACTTTTCTAGTTGAATATCTTTATCGTCTCTCTTTTTTTTTATTAAATTGCCCCCTTCCCCCCCCCCCCCCGCCAAGTGTAACCGCATCCCTCCTGCCGTTCGATTCCAATCTCTGTCCTATCGCACCCCATCCTTATTCCAGCCCCTGTCCCATCCCACCCTATGGATCCCGTCCCATGCTCTTCTCTGTCCCCGCTACCGTCACATCCCACACTATCCCAGCTCCTGTCCCATCCCAGTGCCGTCTGTCTCGCCATAAAAGGACGGGGGGAAGTATGAGGGGCTGGGACAGTGGTGGATCTTGGTGACGGGCAAGAACAGTGGAGAGGACGGGCAGCAGAGTTCATGATTGATCAAAAAGGTGTCTGTCTGTCTCTGTCTCTCTCTGTCTCTCTCTGTCTCTCTCTGTCTCTCTCTGTCTCTGTCTCTCTCTGTCTCTCTCTCTGTCTCTGTCTCTCTCTCTCTCTCTCTCTCTCTCTCTCTCTCTCTCTCTGTCTCTCTCTCTGTCTCTCTCTCTCTCTCTCTCTCTCTCTCTCTCTCTCTCTCTCTCTCTCTCTCTCTCTCTCTCTCTCTCTCTCTCTCTCTCTCTCTCTCTCTCTCTCTCTCTCTCTCTCTCTCTCTCTCTCTCTCTCTCTCTCTCTCTCTCTCTCTCTCTCTCTCTCTCTCTCTCTCTCTCTCTCTCTCTCTCTCTCTCTCTCTCTCTCTCATCTATCCCCCCCTTTTTTTACTCTCCCTTCTCTCTCCTTTTTCAATGCCCACCCATCCTCTTTTCTTAGTTCCCATCTTCTTCACCCTCTCCCATCTTCTTCCGTCCGTTGTACGAATTTCTTACGAGTTTGTCTTTGCTTCTCTTCCTGTTCCTTTCCTCTAATTTGCTTTGCTCAGTCAGACCCGTCTCTCTTCTTCCCTTTATCTCCATCCTTCACTCTCTCTTCCTATCTCCCTCCTTCATCTCCCTCTTCCTATCTCTCTTGTTCATTGAGAAAAATCAGGAAATTTTGGTCCTTGATGTAGCGTCATTTTGTTGACTACTGGGGGAGGGGGGGAGGTGCTGGGACTGTTGGTGGGGGAGGGGCTGTTGGAGGGGGGAGGGGCTGGAGCTGTTGGAGGAGGAGGAGGGGCTGGGGCTGTTGATGGGGAGGGTCTGGAATGACCATTGGAGTGGATAGTCCATTGGGAGAGCCCTCTCAACCTCCCCTCTCGTTAAGAGGGGAGCACAAGGCTAGTTAAGGGCCGTTATACTGTTGGAGATTTCTTTAATATTATTATTATTTTTGTCTACCACAGACGTGGCCAGACATTTACAATGCTAACCAGCATATATACATTTTCTTCTGTCCTCCATGGACAGGGTGAGAGATCTGTTAAACATATAGTTCAGGGATTTATTGATCAACTATAGAAGGTGATTGTAGTGCTTTTTAAAATGTTAATCTAACTTACAGACATTAATTCCAGAACTGGACAGGCTTATTTTTTTTTTTTGGTGTTATTGTGCTTTTCGGCTCAACTACACTATCCTCTCGTCGGTTTTTGTATTCATCTAAGTATACTACACATACACTCACTGTATACTACACATACACTCATGTATACTTATGTTCCATTCTCGTCTACCTCCCTTTCCTTAGCGCCTTCCTTCCTTCCTAGACTTTCTTCCTTCCATCTCCCTCTTTTTCTATCCGCTACTGTCTCCTTTCCTCCTCCTCCCCCACCTCCCTATCCTCCAGTCTCTCTCTCTCTTTCCCTCTATCCTTACTTCATCTCATCTTGCTTTACACCGGCTGTTTAGTTCGGCGTTTCGGCTTGGTAACGAACCCTGGTCGGGGCGAGACGTCGATCGTCGCCTCCCTCTCCGACGTGTAGGGGGGTCGACTTATTTTTTCCCCTCTACGTCGTATAGTGACGTACTTCCTGCACAGAGGTTTGTGTTCGTTTGTCTAACGTACTCCTCTAGAGAGACAGAGATCCGGGATTCGTTCCAATTCAACTACGTTTATTGAGACAATAAAATGCAGCTCAAAGGGATTGAGTAACTTAGGCTATTCAGAACTACGGGCTCACCATAGCCCGTGCTACTTGGAACTTCTTGTTCTAGGTAGCGAATCTTTAACAACAACAATTTGGCTATTTCTACCCCTCAATCGTGGGCTATTTCTACCCCTCAATCGTGGGCTATTTCTACCCCTCAATCGTGGGCTATTTCTACCCCTCAAAAACCAACAACGTGGTGTTTTGGGTGTAAAAACATCGCTCAAATTACAGATCCAGTGAAAAGTATTCTCCAAGCACCTACGTAGTTCCT